AACCTAACTCAATCCAAAATAATAGAATAGGCAAAATAAGCAAACAAACAGAGGATCAAAAGCAAAATACAAAGAAAAATAAGAAAAAAATAAAAGAGAAGAGAAAAAGAAGAAAAAAACAAAAAAAAATAAAGAGAATAAAAAAAGACAAAAGAAAAGAAGAAACAATAAAAAAAAAAAAAAAAAGCATTAATAAATATAAAAAAAAAAAAAAAAAAAAAAAAAAAAACAAAATAAAAGAAAAAATGAAACAAAGTAGAAGAAACAAAGAAAAAAAACCAAAAGAGAAGCGAAAAAAAACAAAGTAAAAAAAAAAATGAAGAAAATAAAGAAAATGAAAGAGAAAAAAGAAACAAAGAGAAAAAAAAAATGAAAAAACAAAATGAAAAATAAAAAAAAAACAAATAGAAAAAGAAATAAAAGGAAAAAAACAAGACAAAAAGGAAAGACAAGACAATAAGAAAAAACAAGACAATAGAAAAAGAGAAAATAGCAAGAAAAAACAAGACAAAAGGAAAAAGAATAATGAAAGAAGAAAGAAAACAAAAGGGAAAAAAGAAAAAATAAATGAAATAAAGAAAGGGTAAAAGAAAGAAATAAAGAAACAAAAAAAGAAATGAAAAGAAAACAAAGTAAAAAAATGAAAAGAGAAAAAAAGTAAAGAAACAAAGAAAAATACTAAAAGAGAAGAAAGAAAATAAAAGAGAAGAGAAAATGAAGAAAAAAACAAAAAAAAATAAAGAGAATAAAAAAAGACAAGAAAAAAAAATAAAAAAGAAAAAAGAAACAAATAGAAAAAATAATGAAAAAAAAATCAAAAAAACAATGAAAGAAATTAAAAAAACAAAAGTAAAAAAAGAAAAGAATGAAAAGAAAAAGAACAAAGCAAAAAACAGTAAATAAAAAAATAAGAAAAGAAATTGAAAAAAAAGAAACAAAAGAGAAACGAAAAAAACAAAATAAAAAGAAAAAATATAGGGAAATAAAAAAGCAAAGAAAAAAAAAACTAAAGAAAAAGACAAAAAGAAACAAAGAAAAAAAAATAAACAAAAAAAATAAAAAATAAAGAAACAAAATAAAGACAAAAAAAAAGCAAAATTAAAATGAAAAAAGAAAAACAAAAGCAAAAAACAAAAAAAAGAAAAGATAAGAAAAAATAAAAAATAGAGAAAAGACAAAAAAAGTGAAGAAAAATTAAAATCACATACTTGATTCTGAGATTAAGCACAATGACAAAAGCACAAAAAGCAAAAGACAAAAGCATAAAAAGCAAAAAAACAAAAAAAAGAAAAGATAAAAAAAA